TATCGCCCAATCAGTCTGCTACCTACTCTATCTAAGGTAGCGGAGAAGACAATACTTCGAAGAATAATGCCAAGTCTCCTAGAACGCAAGGTGATACCTGACCATCAATTTGGCTTCAGAGAACGTCATGGTACAGTAGAACAAATCCACAGAGTATATGATGCCATAAGAAGATCCTTAGAACTGAAAGAATACTGCTCATCAGTGTTCTTAGATATCCAGCAGGCATTTGATAAGGTGTGGCACAAAGGATTGCTATGTAAGATAAAAGATAATATTTCTCACTCATACTTTCCAATATTTAAATCATATCTCGAGGACCGCATATTCCATGTAAAAGTGGGAGATGCCTATTCGAATTTCCATAAAATTGAAGCCGGGGTGCCACAGGGATCAGTTCTCGGACCTCTACTCTACACACTTTACACAGCTGACTTACCATTAACGCCAGGGGTAACTACAGCCACATTTGCAGATGACACCGCTATGTTAGCGAGCGCTAAAAATCCAAAAGTGGCATCTGAAAAACTGCAGATTGGTCTTAATAAAGTAGATGAGTGGCTGCAAAAGTGGAAAATAAAGGCTAGTGCTACAAAGTCAGTGCAAGTAACATTTTCTCTTAGAAAATGAAACTGCCCACCTGTAAAATTGGGCCACTGCACTCTACCTCACAGTGATCATGTAAAATATCTTGGCCTACACATTGATCGTAAATTAACCTGGAAGCAACACATCCAATGTAAAAAGCAGGAGCTCCAGTTAAAGTACAATAGTCTTTACTGGATGCTGGGAAGGAATTCAAGGCTCTCCCTAGACAACAAACTACTAATCTACAAAGTAATCTTGAAACCCATTTGGACGTATGGCCTGCAACTATGGGGCAGCGCAAGCGATTCTAATATAGAAATTCTCCAACGCCAACAGAACAAAATCTTGAGAACCATCGCGGAAGTACCATGGTACATAACCAACAATGAATTACACAATCACCTTGAAATGAGAACAATCAAGGAAGAAATTAGGAGCCTTGCAGCTAAATACAAAGAACGGTTAACCCGACATGCTAACGAACTCGCTCGCCAACTCTCCATGAACCAGTATGTGAAACGTTTAAAACGACACCACATCCTAGAACTCGAAGACAGACAGTAGGTCTAGGCAGCAGATGAGTAGAGCTTCCAATGGGAAGTCACTCCGCATGACAGATCGCACAGAAGATTTGCTCATAGCCTTGGGGCTGATTGCAAATGTATTTGAAAAAAAAAAAAAAAAAAGGTTGGCAAGGTATTTATTAATTTGTCGGAAATTATTTCCGTACCGCACCTTAAATTGTACATGTTACGTCATCGTTGGAACGTGGCGAGAAGGGGAAAACGTAAATTTGGACAAATTGCTCTCAGTGTGCACATTATTGCGATATATTCGTTTACTCGACAACATTGGTTGGAAATGTGTTTAGGTTTCGGGTGTTTTCATTTTTCTATGTGTGTACCGTGTAGTTAATAAAATGTTGTCAAACTTGCACGAACTGAATTTTTGCTATCTGAAAATTCCAACTAATCAAAGCTTCCTCGTGGCCGTTTAGAATAAAAAGACAATATTATACACAAAATGTTTGGTCGACCACTGATACACCATGACCATGGATACCAAATGCATTAAAACTTTACGTTTATCGCTGTAAACTAATGAACAAGATGACCGTTGCAGTTTATACACAGCAGAGAACAAAAGCCAAGTCATCCATTTCCACGAGTAATTCCCGAGTGAGTGGCCTGATACTCTGACCGTGCTAATATCTCACGGACACGTAACTTACCTAACTATTCACAATCATTATCCTGTGGGACACGATACTCGAGCTGTCTGTGTTCCCAACAGGTCATTTGCCGAACTACTTCGATAGGATTGTACCACCGAACATTTATTGAGTCGGAAACTAGCCGACGGGTACGAAATTTGCGATATTATTCAAACTTCCGATGGGGAAGCAGCGGTCGAATTTTGGCGTTCAACTTTCTCGGCTTTGGTGAATGTTTTAGTATCTTGCAGGATGTAGATTGTAGACACAAACATTTGCTTACGTCCTCGAACAGTTTATTTTGGCATTTTCGGGATTTTTGATGTGTTTGACCAACAATCAAACTGTTCTGTTTACAAGGAACTAGCTTCTGCCCGCGACTTAGGTCGTGCAATCCTGTTTTCTGCTGTTTCTATACGATTTTCAGGATTTATTTCGTCAAAAGAACCTTCACCTGACCAACACAAAAAATAAATTACTGAAATCGGTCCAGCTGTTCACGCGTGATGGCGTGACCAAGGGATATAGGGATTCATTTATATGTATATGGATATAAAGATTTTGTTGATAATTGTTCTTACGTAATACTTTTTGTAATCAAGATTTCTCCAACTGTTATTGCTAATCTGCACATTGTGTTTAACCGATTGTAATGATTTTTGTAGATTCATACGTTTTTCTTCTCTTTATAGCAGAATTTCCTGAATGTTAAAACGCCAGTGTATGCAATAAAAATAACAACATGACATTAGGTTGGTCCCGCATAGTCTCTAGGGGAGTCCCGTATCCAAAAGATACGTCCACCAGTAAAAACCATTACATATTAGTGCGGTTTATTGCTCCTATATTCATTAAACAAGGAACCACCATTTAACACAGGCAAATTATAAGAGTACACAGTTTAAACTAATTGTAAGTCAAAATTCAGTTTACAAAACTGACCGTAGGGGAAAGTTTGGGTGAATTTAACAAGACCAAAGGGTCCAAAGTGAGTGTACAGAATTAATATTCGTTCATTTTCACCCTTTAATTACATTATCTTTATCTGTGAAGTTTCCTCATGTTAATTGTTAAAGTGTCTTTATATCGTAGATATATAATTAGTATTATTACAGGAATGGTTTTGTTTTAAGCTATTTTGTTTCGAAATATATTTAGTTCAATTCAAATGAAATATTTTGAAAATCTCAGTTACTTCCTTATTTTACGTCCTGAATTTCAAAAAAGATATAACTAACTTCAGTTCAATAAAATATACTAACACGACAGACGCCTTTATCCCATATTTCCCCAAGCGGTCACGGGTGAACGCTCTCCACTAACTACATTTTTCCAATGTTTAGAGACTACTTTTTTATGAACAAATTTAGGGGATGATTTTCAACGAGTTATTTGAAGAAAAGTCAATTGAAAACCACCCCACCAAAACTTTGACGGAACTTTTCAAAAATTATGTACACCCAACCCAGCTCTGTCATTACAATTGTTTGAAAACGTCGCAACATGTTAATGACGATTCGTACATGGTCTGAACTAAACAGTAGCTGTCGAAACTTTGTGGAGGCCAATTAAAGTGTTGGAAAACAAAACAATGCGTCAACTGTTCCTAACAAGTGAAGTTTGGCTAAATTTTCCGGATCACGGATCAGGAAACAATTATATAGAGGATATAGGGATCGAAGTTTTAATTTGAATATGTGTACTTTGCAGTTTACATGCCACTCTTTAGTAGAGAGGATATTAAAAAATTTAGATTAATCTATAGACCGAGGTTGATACTTTGCTTCACATTTCTGGTGATGAACTATTAGCTGAAAAAAAAACAGTATACCTCAGACTTCAAATTCATGTATTTATTGTAGATCACAGGTAAATACACAATACAGTTGTTATCATATCATTTGGTTGAGCTCAGCTGTGTCCTGCAATAGTTGGGTACGATATTAATATTAATGTCAGTTAAATCTATACTAATATTATAAATCTGTACTAATATTACAAAAAGGAAAGATTTGTACCTATTTTTGTATGTTTGTATGTTTGTAATGAATAGGCTCAAAAAGTACTGGGCCGATTTAAAAAATTCTTTCATCAATAGAATGCTACATTCTTCCAATTTGGCATAGGCATACATTTCATTTCGAAAAAAAAATTTTGAACAATGTAACTGAATGTGTAGAAAAATGAGTCTTAAAATGTCTTCCGTCGAATGCGCTGCCGAAACTATTAGCGATAGAACAAAATAATGTACAACAATATTGAAGAACATTATAATGTCTACAAAAAACTCCGCATAGCTAGTCCAACTATTGTAGTTATGTCACTACAACAATCCAAATTTCCAAAAATAAATAATTGTCTACCCCGTCAGCCCGGCGAAGCCGGGCGAGTTGCTAGTATATAATAAAACAAGTAATTATTAGAGAAATTACATATGTCAATAAATGCTTCAAACTAATGACTTCAAACTAAACCAAAGAAATGTCTACTCCCATGAGAATTGTAATTATTTTTTCGGTAGGATACAACCACAATATTTTTCTCTGTAGTCAATCACTAGCGATTATTCTTAACACGTTAAACGCCATGGGGGTCACCGGTGACCGACGTTAGCGGAGGATTTACCTTCAACAGTTTTTTATTGGCAGTCAAACGCTTAAGAAATTCCTTTATTGCAGTTTTTCCGAACCATCAATCTCCAATCATTCGACTACTGATTTCAAAGTTATCGGTTTCCACAGACTACGAACTTTTAGAGACGTGACAGAAATACTCCCTTAGGTAATTTGTAATGGTTCACATTTGATGTTGAGTGTGTGAGCTGAATATGACATGTAAAAAGGTTCTTGTACTTTACTATCCATATTTGGGTGAATTTCAACAAGAGATTTTTATGTATCATTTCGGTGGGATTTTTTTATTTCAATGCAATCTATATATTTTTAGTGACAAATAATACTTTAGTCTATTTTATAACATTGTGCGTGAGTGGACATCAAATATTATCAAAACTTACATAAATATTTAAGGATAAAGTTTTAAGAGTCCACTGAAATTAAAAGTGTCCACCGAAATGATAAAAATTACCACCGAAATGATAAATCCACCGAAATGATACAGCTAAGAACAACCGTGCCCCCAGCCAGGGTTCCGTACTTTGTTAGGTTTGATTTCCACAAATTTTAGATAAACACTGAGACAGGACAGTACACAGTTTTTTTAATATCATCATTAATATACAGATATTACAGTTAGTATTATTACATATATCATTCTTTGAGGTTACAATAACCGTTGTACGCCACTTGGTTGTACACAATGAGTGCCAGTTACTACATTGTCATCAATATGATGTTGAATATTGGAACCAATTGTACTATCGCTATTCATCGGCAAGCAGCGCCGAGCCGAAGATGGATTCCCTTGAGAAGTGCTTGGACCAGGATTGCTATAGTCAAAATTTACAAAATTTTGATGCGTTGATAGCAGGGTTTGTCGTGGACTGCTTGTGTATACCCGATGAAAGTTTCTAGCTTCTGTAGTATTAGAACGTTGGATTTGGATATTCGTACTAATACTATTGCTGTTCAATCGTAAGCTGCGCCGTAAAGCAGGCAAGAAGGAACTGTGACAGGAAGTGCTTAGTCCAGGACCATCACTTTGATCCCCAATTGTCTCATCCAGAGGGTTAGCACGAGCCGCTATAGGAGCTGGAGCTGCTCTATTTTTTTTTCTTTGGTAATAAGCAGCAGCACTTATTTTGTTTTTTCTTCTTAGAATTCTTAATTTTTTAGGGGCCTTGAAACAATTAATTCCGCTGCTTTTTTTCTGGCATACCTTTCTCTGTCTTTTCTCAAAAACTCTTCGCGTGAGACTTCATTGCTCTTAATTCTCTCTTTTCTTCTTCTTTCATACAACCTCCTTTTTTCCAACCTTTCTTCTCTAGTCTGTTGCTTAGGCCGCGGCATCCTAAAATCAAAATACACGCTTTTCAATTTTCTTCTTTCTCATATCCACAGACATACATTCATACACACTATACTATGATCCTATAAAATACTATACCTTCAGATACACCATGCGCTCACACACTAGCTCTCTTGCATTGACTCAGACAAACACTCTCACAGGCAATTTCTCATCACATAGGTATATCTCTTTTTTTTTCATATAACGTTCAAATGCTCTTTAACTTATTTGTTATATCTTGTAAAATTAAGAAATTTTGTAATTATATCAAATATTATTTATTATTGTTATTTACTCGTAATAAATGATATAAAAATAAAGGTAAGTGACTTATATTGAAGGTAAACCCTCGAAATAATTATTTTGTTGACAATTAGTAGGTATAATAATCTACACTGTGGTGACCCACACACTCATCACATTTTCGTTGAGCCGAACAAATGTGTATCTAAAGTATAGTAAACATGTACTAACTACATAGATATATGTATATATTATATATCTTAAGCACAAATATTACACAACAAATACACCTAAATAATCTAATCGACACTCTAGGTAAAAGTAGGTACATTACAAAACTATGACTTTGTATTTGACACCAGGATCTCTAAAACTTTATGTTTTTATCATTTCGGAGATACTTTTAATTCCGGTGGACTGTAATTGGTATAACAGTCCACCGAATCCACTGAAATGATAACACTGAGATGATAAAATAGAGGTTAGTTCTACATTTAACTCCGAAAAAAAATTATTTAAAAAATATGAACACTACTCAAACAAAACAGTACTTACTGCGAATTTAATACACAATTTTGAAACAAATTAAACAAATCTAGCACGAGTTATAACAGCCACCGAAATGAAACTATTTTTGTCCCCATATTACTGAAATGATAAACTTACTTTTTTGGCGGGAAACCGCAAGACGTTGGGACCGGTGCGTTCGCGCCGAGAGCTTAAGCCGGACTGATCCGGAGTGAGAAAAGGTGAAAGGGGCGTAACAACGCAATGTTGATGTGGCTATTCTACTAAAACTTACTGTCCTCTGAAATGATAACTTTTTTCCAGACAAAAGTTGACTGCCTGTCAAATCCATGAGAAAGAAGATAAACAAACAAAAATTGTTTTATTTGATCGAATATATTATAATTTAATGATAACAAAATCAATTTAAATCCATATTACGAATGTATTTGCAGGAGAAGGTATGTTATGAGCGGAATTGGGTTCAGGACAGGTCACCGTCATGATAAAATAACACTTTGTAATTTTTTTTTTGGGTATATTAGAGGGTAGATACCAGTGATTTTTTTTGCCAAGGTAGAGAAATACTTACGTTGTTGAGAAAAAATATATAAAATTAATAATCAGCACATTGCACTACCGTTCTCAGGTTTGCCGTGTATTTTTTTGCTTGGGCAATTCACCCATTTATTACTCTCAAGTAAGAAAAATACATAGAAAATGTCATACAATTTCATAGGCTATACATATTTGAATACTAAGGTATCTCAAAGTGGTACTTAGAAAAAATCATAAACTAAGTAAGACTAAGTATGTGTGCATTTATCAATTTTTTTGTTGTATATTTTCATATATTTATCAGTTTCTTTTCCGTTTTTTGACATTACATTTTGTATATTAGCAGCTCACCCCAGCTTCGTCCAGGTGCTATTTTCTGATATTTGCAGTGAATGTATAGAATTTTTCCCTCATACAAACATTCTCAAATAAATACGAGACGTAATAATTTGTAGCAAAAAGCGGTATATATTTGAATTTAGAAAAAGGACACAATATGTTTCGTCTTTATCACTTTGGGTTTGACGTCATTGACGTGTAATTTGTTTTGGTTTGCATTGTTCTCGGTTATAATTTAGAAAAACAAACAATTACATTTCTATCCTTATCATTTTGGATCTGACGTCATTGACGTGTCATTTGTTTTTTTATTTAGTAGCGGATTGCGTGAACTCCATAAATACAAACTATGAAGCGGTACGCTTCATAGTTTGTATTTATGTTCCACGCCACATATCTATATAGTGTAGTTTGTATGAGAAAAGTAAATTGTCGAATTGTTTAAACATTTCTTTATATTTTCGCGTCTTTTATATCATCAATGAACTTGTAACACAGCCCGTCGTATATATAGCAAAAGTGTTTTGTAACACAGATATTTACTTAATCCCACAATTATTCTTATTTAAAACTTACAAAAGCACTTCAAGTATCAATTGTATCTTTTATTTATTTTAAAATAAACCTTGACCAAGTTACACAAGGTATATTTTACTATTGTTCTATGCTCCTAAAATATAATATTCTATTGTATTCTGTATCTAAAAAGTAAATGTGTCTTTTTATAGACCGCAATAACATTTTGATTCAATAACAGGCCATTGCAAATGTAGCCGTTTCAGTTATGTTTTTATTTGGTACAAAAATAATTTTATTGGCTATACCTATTCTGTTTTTATTTGGGTTTTTTTCCATTCTAATAAACTGTAGTAAAGCACTTCTAGCTACGAAACTGCGTTGCTTTATTTGACATGAATTGTTTGAATGTATGTGACGCCCGAATACTGAAAGGCTAATAGATTTTAAGTCGCGCTTAAGTATAGTTCTGTCACTACAAGTTCTTTGTAAAATGACAGAGATGGCACGATATTTAGAACTTAAGGTGTTACTCTTGTACATCTAAAGTCTATACAAATTATTTGTTTCTGAACTAGGATATAATAACGGAGGACTTAAAAGTATCGTCAGTGACTTCATGATTTTTTTACAGATATTTGCTAGATTTATTTCTTAGATTACAGATAAGTACGGGTTGCCGGGGCTCCGGCTCGAACGGCAGAAGTAGGAACGGGTGGTTTTTAGTCAGTAAGAGTCTGACACTCCCTCCCGCTTCACCTAGACGAGAGAAGTCATTGGATGATTAACCACCCTTAAAAAATGCAAAGGTGTGTTTTGTTGTCTTTTTTACAGACAACAACAAAGCGGTTTACAATGTAATTCCTATGTTAGGGATTTCAATGTAATTTCTAAGTTTTTCAGGAACCTTTTAAATCAAAAAGAGGATCCATACAATCATATATTTAACACAATTTAAAAGGTTTTGTCATAGTTATAAAACTACAAAAGTAATAAGTACGAACATAAGTATCATAACACAACTGGCAGCTTGCCAAGGAGCAGCTCTATGTAAACTTAAGTACTAGAATTAAATTGTACAATTTTACATTTGATATAGTTCTGGTTGGAGGTTTACTTTCTTTTAATTTTCGTATCATTTTAGATGTAGAATTTATTTGAGTATGAAAAGTTTATTGTATTTTAACATTTGACAAATGGATTCGATTCGATTTTTACACAAAATTTTGCTGGTTTTACGTTTATTGACTGCCTCTTTGGCCGAGTGGTCACAAGCGCGACTGCCGGGCAAGGGGTCTCGGGTTCGATTCCCGGGTAGGGCAAAGTATTACTGGTTTTTTTTTTAATATTGCCCACTTACACTAGGATTTTCTACTGTCCTAGGATTTTAAAAATCTCAGTAATACTAATAGCACGGAGTCTGGAAATGTGCTCTGTATATGGCAATAGGCTCACCCCCTATTACATGGAACTCATAACATAAATAGTGAAAAGTGAGTGTTACATTGTACAGTGGCATTAAGTGCCCTAATGTACACCTCTGGGGACCCCCTACCCCTTTGGGGATAAAAGGCGTGATGTTATGTTATGTTATGTTTAATGTTTATTCTTTCAAAGACAAAACGCCTTTTCGCCTGTTGTCTTGTCCTCAATATAGCCAATAAATAAAGTACAAAGCAAAGCAAATATCCAAACTTTGGAATAATTACTCAAACATTAACAAATGAAGGAAAATAACACATTCGTCGTCCTGTAAAAAACCCAAAGCTTCCCTTTGAAAATACGAAGACCAAATTAAATGTTGTAACAACAATAGATTCTCTTGTCATCTAGCTTGACTTAAAATAAGAAACCTCATTTTTTCCGAGCGTGACTCAAGAGGCGTTTCAGGGATTATGTCAGGTGGATTGGTGACAGCACCCACTTACAAACTGTCAACATGACACTTGGGGAACTTGATTTGTGGACGAGCAAGGAAAATTGCTCGTTTAATTGCTATTCTTATTTAAAATCTTAAGAGAATTATAAGACAAAATTAAGCGTAGCTTCACTAACATTAGTACTTTATTGTGCTCTTTATCTAAATGTCACTTGAAAAATTACTTTTGGATTGCCAAATGCGATTATATTTTTTTTATTTTCTACCAAAGCAACGCGTAAAACAAAACTTCTAATTTAAATAACAACTAAACTGAAAACCAAAACAATAGGGTAGACGACTAATTTTTATTTTAATGTCCGTCTGGTAGATTATTTAAAAATATTAGACACGTATTTTTTATTTTCTCACGGAAACGAATAGTTTTGAAGATATATTGATTTGAAATGTCGCGTGACGTCACTTCTCAGTACATTTTATACTAAGAAATGACGTTTTACCCCCCACTCCTAAACTTTAACTCGTTTTATCTAAGTATTGTTTTATTATACGACAAAATAAAAAAATACGTGTCTAATATTTTTTTATTACCTAACTTACGGACTAATTATATTTTTAATTTTTATACCCTGTCAACATCCCCATTGAATATAGAAAAGGGAAAAACTGTAACGCCACGTAAACTGAACAAAGGATACATTGTAATATTATTTAATTATTCATTGAAACACACAAAAAGATGTTTACGTAACTCCTAAGTGTGTACTCGGGTTTTTGTAGCACGTATATATTCTTTAGGCCATTTAGTTTTTATTGTGCCTAAGCATAATGTTCCTGTTGCTGAACAAAACGTATTTTAAATGGCAATAAAACGGTTTCAGGTGGCTGGCGTTGTTCAGTGAAGGACACTGATAACGAGCAGCGGTTATGATGTCATTATTAAAGTTTACGGCATAAAAGCTTCTTGAAGAAAGAACTGTTTTTGCTACAAGAAGATAAAAAATCCTAAAAAATATAAATAACACAACAAAAAGTCATACCTCATCTTTTCTTCTAAAATAAGTGAAAACCTCATAATAGGCCTTTAGCTCACAAGCAATTTTCCCTCACAACTTCATTACAAGGACCACAGTTATCTGTGGCCCATAAAGGAGAGAACGCTGTGGCCCATATAGGAAATATTAATTACAGGTTATGGACCAGCCGACCGAAGGAAGTGGTATGTTGGCTAGACAACGCTAACCGCACGTCAAATTACTACACTCCGTATAACATCCTTGGAATTTCTAGGACCATAGAACCCTCATTTTTGGTTCACAAAATGAAAGGTACCTGTTTATAATGTTGTCGGGCCTTTCATTAGTCTAAATACTTACCACAATACATTATGGTTTCAGTACATTTCTGTTACAAAATGTGGGTTTTTGTAACATTTCGGTGATATGACATATTTTGGCTTTATCTTTGGGTAGATGACATACTTATTTTCGGTGTTCTGTTGGCTGGTTTGTCTCGTAGTACCTGATATTTTGTAGTATCTATGATATTGTAGTACGTTTGTGTTTTATCAAAGGATGAGGTACAAATTATTCATTTCATAATTCGTCCACGGTGAATACCTATAGAGATTTTAGTAGCAGCTGGTATATATTAAAAGTTTTCTCTGATATAAAGGTACAGATATCAATGTACCCTAAATGAATTACAATTCAATTGCAATAATTGGAAATGTGACTTAAAGATGGAAACAGAAAAACGATATGAAAATTTCTCAGAAAACTATTTTCTTTAACAATTTACATTTAAAACTCCATTGTGTCTGAACAGTACAAAACCCCAATAGTAAGAGGGTATAAAAAGCAATAAAAAATATAATACATTTATATTATTTTAACGATCACTTGTTGCCTGGAGCTGGAGCGGACTTGGCACCGCTCCAAACAAGCCTCACTCGATTTAAACTGTTTTATATATCTCTAGTCTACCAAATGCTTGGGTTTTAAGTAAAAAAGATACTCCTGTTAAGCATTCATTTCTCATTTTATTTTCGAGTAACATATATTTTATTT